GGGGAACAGGAGAGCCCTTTAAATAGACCCAGCTCAAAGGTATCCTGCGTCTCCGGCAGTGCGCTAGAGGCGCGGGGAGCTGCGAGCCCTCTCAGCTGTGTCTATTCAAAGGGCTCGTGTTCCCCGGCTGCTAGGCAGCGGGTTGCCTGACAGGCACAGGGAAGGCGCCAGCCCTTTACACAAAAGCACTGAAAAGGGCTCGCAGCTCCCCCGGCCTCTAATGAGTTGTTAGGAAGCCAGAGACTCGAGCCCTTTCAACTGCTTCTATTGAAAGGGCTCGCCTGCTGGGGGCTGCATTGCCTGGCAGTCACCCGCAGGCGCAAGCCCTGGAAACGGAAGCAATTGAAAGGGCTCGCGGCTCTGTAACTCTGATGAACCATGTCCGCTCCGCAGTTTAGATACTGCCCACCGCTGATGGAACTAAAAATGTAGTGTTAGTGTTGTTAGTACAAATGCTACAAGTGTTCTCAAAATGTTAGTGTTGCCTTTTATGATAATCTTTGGATAATGTTGTATGCAGTTCATTTTTATTAACATTTAATTACTTTGTTGTGTAAAAAACATATTGGCGTCTTTTCACAGCACATGGACCACCCCTTCCGCCCAAGGCCCCACCTCTTCCAGGTCAGCCGCAGACACTTCTGAAATTTGTGAAGTGTCCCACTTTCAAAAATTATTGCCCACTCCTGATGTATTAAGAGGTGCCGAGCTTTAATATATTTTAAAAAGCAGAGGTGCAGCTGCGGGGATTGGGAGCAAGCTGGGAATCAGTTGTCCCAGCTCTCTCCCATTTCCCCCCCCCCACCAGTGCTGCGGGGGAACCAGCTTTTAAGCTACTCCAAGACAAACTTTTAAAAGTTTTAGCATATACAGCTAAAGTTATCCACATGTTGTTGTTTTATGAATTACAGCTTTCTGTAAAATATATTAAGCTTTATAATGCCTAACTTCTGAGGTAGTTGACTAGTCACTTCCATCCTCAATGCCCATGCAAAGATTTTAACAATATATTTTATAGCTACTCTAAGCTCCCATTAAAGATTAATAACTTGCAAACTTTTTAAATGTTCAGTTTATTCATTGTAGCAATCTTAACTGTAAGTTAACAAAGCTTTATAATGCCTAATTTCTTTTTAAATACAAGGAGCCCTGACAACTAAAATAAATGTCAGAAAAAGACAAAGTTTTCAAACATACAAGACTCTTTGCAATTATGTAAACAATTCAAGGCATGAGGCTTCTAGATCCACGTAGAGAACTTGATGTGCCAAGCATATAGTTTTTGTACAGGGCCAGGCTCAGAGTTGTAATAAAGTAGCAGAGACCACCCTCTTCTTAAAAGCCTGTTCCTCCCCTTCCCCAAACTGGCTGTGCGGCGCTACCTTCCCCCATCGCCTGCCGCATTGCTGCTGCTGTATCAGAGGCAGCAGTACAGTGCGGCAAATAGTTGGTCCACAAGGGGAGCTGGTTTTTCAACTGGTTTCTTCCTGACACTCCACACTGCTGCATGGCAGGGGGCTTCCCAGGAATGGGGCTGGAGTGTACTGGCTGCTGGTCCCGCCCCTGGGGCCTATAGAATAGTTGACTAACCACTAAGAATTCATGAGGTTAGTTGACTGTTCTATTACCTGTTATCTACCATCCCTACTGTGGAATAAATTATGTGCACCACCAGTAGAAACACATGGGCTATGTCTACACTCGCAGCTTCTTGCGCGAGTAATATGCAAATGAGGCTAAGTGTGGAATATCGCCGAGCCTCATTTGCATACCTAATGAGCCACCTTTTTCTTCAGAAGAGGTTCTTGCACAAGAAGGTCCCTTCTTGCGCAAGAAAAACCCTCTTGCGCAACGCCGTTACACCTATTACTTTTCAGGAAGAACGGCATTGCGCAAGAGGGTTTTTCTTGCACAAGAAGGGGCAGTGTAGACAGCTCCTTCTTGCGCAAGAGCCTCTTCTGAAAAAAATGGTGGCTCATTAGGTATGCAAATGAGGCTCTGCTGACTATGAGTGCTAAGCTCTGCTGATCAGTGGGGAAGCACCTGAATCTCTCCTGTGTGGCTGCCTAAGTACTCAGCTTACAGGGAACATGCTAGCAAGCAGCAACACAGTCAGGACCCAGCCCCGGAAGTTTATTCGTACCAGCACTACGTATAAGCAGATTAATCAATTGGTTAATTGATTAATAAACCATCTTGATAGTCTTTAAACCTAATAAACCATCTTGATAGTCTTTAAACCTAATAAACCATCTTGATAGTCTTTAAACCTAATAAACCATCTTGATAGTCTTTAAACCTAATAAACCATCTTGATAGTCTTTAAACCTAATAAACCATCTTGATAGTCTTTAAAGTGCTACATAGTCCTGTATTTTGTTTCAGCTACACCAGACTAACACGGCTACATTTCTATCACGGAAGACATGATTGGCTTCTGCGCAGGCTATGATGGGAGGAAGGTCCCGAGTGAGCCATGATTATGTGGTCACGGTTGTAGGGTTAGGCATGTTCGCAAGTTGGACTCAAAACTGCTAAAGAGGCTGATCGCATACAGGGGTGGACTCAGGCTGGCTTTGGCTGCTGTGCCTTCTTCCGAATGGGTAGAGGGGGTGCTCGTGCAGCATGCAATTTCCTTCCTTGTGCTGTGCCTGGTGTAGCTGTTGCATAAATCCCGAGCAGGTTTGTGAGATTTGGGGAGCAGTGAGGTACGCTAAGCTGCAGAGGCTATGGTAGCCTATAGGGATCCTAAACAGGAATAGTTTGTCTCTCACACATGCTAAACAAAGCAAATAGGCCTCCATTTATAAACCTCAACTACCCACCTGGAGAAATAAAAAAGCAAATTGAAAGAGCCAGACAAATACCTAGAAACCATCTACTTCAAGACAGACCCAAGAAAACCAACAATAGAACACCACTTGTCATCACCTATAGCCCCCAACTTAAACCTGTCCAACACATTATCAATAAACTACAGCCTATACTGAAACAGGATACTACACTCCGAGAGGCTCTGGGAGACAGACCCATAGTCTCCTATAGACAACCACCTAACCTCAAGATCATTCTTACCAACCACCACAGGACATACCACACTAATACCAACCCTGGTACCTTCCCTTGCAACAAACCCCGTTGCCAGCTTTGTCCACATATTCATTCTGCTGATACCATTATTGGACCTAACCAAGTGAGCTATAAGATCAAGAACACATATTCCTGCGCATCCAGAAATATAATCTATGCTATCGTGTGCCGAAAGTGTCCGTCTGCTATGTACATTGGACAAACATCTCAGACACTTCGCCAAAGGATTAATGCCCACAAAACAGATATCAGACAAGATCACAAAGAGAAAACAGTTTCTTGCCATTTTAACCAGAAAGGACACTCTCTAAATGACTTAGCCACCTGCACTGAATAAGGAATCTAATTATCTTACCCATTACAAAGATAGTTTCCCCAATTATCACCTCTAATATCATTAGCTCACAGACATTTACCTCCCCCCCATCCCCCTTCTGTTCTGCAATGTGATTTGTCCTTTTCATATTTGTTCATTTTTTTAATTGTATCCTTTGGTATATATGGTTGTGACTACTTTCTTCCACGATTTGATCTGAGGAAGTGGGTCTGGCCCACGAAAGCTCATCATCTAATAAACCATCTTGTTAGTCTTTAAAGTGCTACATAGTCCTGTATTTTATGTCTTCTGTGCGCACGCTAGCGTATGGGATCACGTGACTGCGAACAGGCGACTTCTCGCTCTCTTCCCTCTCCCGAAAAACGGCTCTACACCGACGTTCTTATCTACGGCAACCACCGTGGGTTAATTCGAAGAGAAGAAGTTGGGCCCCGAGGATGGCTGGGAGTTCCGTGGGCTTGTATCTTCGGTTTCCCTCTACCCACGGGCGCGAAAGGCACCACGTCGCGTGATGGCAGCTGACTTGGGGAGAAGAGTCGGCCGCGCCTCTGATGTGAGGAGTCAGGTGACACACAGACTGGTTTCACGTGGATATGACGCGCAGAGTCCAGCGGGAGGGGAACCAAGCGGTCAAGTCACGTGTTGCGGTGCCAGCCCCAGGCCCCTCCCCCAGAAAGGGCGGTCAACATGGCGGCTGAGAGTTGGAAAGCGTCGGACGGCAGGGCTAGTGTTGGATACTTCCAAGAGCAGTCGCGAAGAGATCAAGAGAGTGAGTCCCGCCCGGTTCTGTTGCCCTGTA